GAATCGTGCTGACGTACGCCAGATATGAATAATTCCACGTCTATACATTTTTTACCTCGTGCACAGGATGATCATTGAGGTGACGGTATCCGTGTAACATTGTTATGACGGCATGCATGTCTGGGTGACCTCCAAACAGGCTGCGTGAAATAGTCTGCACAAGTTCGCCTGCGCTACGTTCAGAATCAAGAGGGCTTGAACTAAAGTGTCAGGGAGGGGATGGCAGCTCAGTTGAAAACCCCATACAAATTTGTAACACTATTCTTAACTGCAGCCCGACTTTACATTTCAGAATGTCGTTTGTAACACTGACCAATGCCGGGCGGCTATTTTTCTTGAACGGTTGTCATCTTGTATTTTCAGCCCATTTTAAGGGGTTGTGTGTTACCACTCCGTTTTGGGTCAAGCAGTGCGATGAATATATCATGGAGCTTAATATGGGCGTAGGCAGAGCCAAGGACGGAGGGCTACCCCCTCCCCCCCCCCCCGCCCGCCCTCTAAGACCCGCAGTTCTTTTCATTTTCCGTTGCAGATGGCTCGTGACAGGAATTTAGAATCGGCATGAAGCACTGTCACTTGTCCTCCCCCTCCGCCCCCCCCCCCCCCCTAGAAAATCATGGCCGAACCTTGCATGGAGTTGGTTGCGAACTTTTAGAAGAACTTGCCATGCAACGCTTTGCTTTTTTCTCTATCTGTTACCTTTGACCGTAATTTATATCCTTCTATCCTACTTTATCTTATCTTCTAAAATGTATTTCGCAATGACAGTGGGATATCTGTGGGGAGATGACGTGTGCCGTGGTGAGCAGGACCATGACTGGTATTATGAATCACCGGAGGTGGCTGACACGGTGACCCCATAGTCCATGCCAACCCTCACTCACGGTGTTGTCCGGCTCCGAGGGTCGGGAACATTCCATGTGGGCCCGAAGCTACCATTTACCCACTTCCGCCGAGAGATTTAATGAAGATGTGTCCCTTTCCCCGCCCGTCTCTCCTCTCTCTCTCTCTTCCATCTCCCTCCTCTCTCTCAGATCGATCTCCATCTCGATCTCCATCCACATCCTCTCTCTTGCTCTCTCTCTCCTCGATCTCTTCTCGTCATCTCTCTGCTGCTCTCTCTCTCTCTCTCTCTATCTCCTCGCAGCGCACGCGCGCTAGTGGAGGCCGCTGACTGCGGCGCGATGGGCGTGTGCGTCGCCCGGCCAGGTGTGCGCTGATTGGCGGAGGCGACAGGTCAACAGCTTGCCGACAGATGTCGCCGCCGTCGCCAGGCTCAGGACCTTTCGATCAGTCGTGGGTTTCTTCGAATGACGCGTCCGTAAATCGGCGGGCGGGGTGCGAGCGACCGCCCGCTGGTGGGCCGGCGTCCTGTTGTCCGATGAAGCTAGATGATTGACACACCAGTGACATGAAAAAAACACGGCTGATTCTTGGTAGGCAACTAATAGTGGCAGTGCGCTGGACAGTAAACCATGCTTTTCTTCTCTATCGGCAACACGGAGCCTTGCAGGCATCGGAAGTACTCGTCCGTGGGGCGGGGAACGCACATGTTCTTTTTTAGTTTTGAGCATATCTGTGTTTCTCGAATGAAAAGGCGCCTGGTGCTATTAGAGGACACTGTGTGTGCAGCGTTGGCACCCGCCGCAAACATAACATCAGCTTATGCAGCCGCCTGGTCCCAGCCTATGGTCGGTTCGTTACCCTTCAGCACTAATCAAAATAATTGTTGCACCTTAAATGACTACCTTGAAGTAATTGTAGGTATTGATTGTAGATGCCGCTGCATTCCCAACATCTCAGAAAATTAACATTAGATTTCAGGCGTGGCGAAGAAAAATAATTTTAAAATGACATTTGTTTACCCCACATTTTGAAAGATTTTCGCCTGATCTATCAAAAAAGGACAAATTATAGTTCAGATTCTTCCACTCGACGCGTTCGTGGTTATTTGTCCTTTCACAGAACCTGAAGGCATTGCCAGCTTGCGAAAAGATAGGTTTCGGCTCTGTTGCTTCTTTTACGTAGGGTACAGCATCCAACCAATCATCGTCCAGCAGTGGCAGTGGACGACGAAGTCATTGGCCGCTGATGATGTTCATCCTGGTCACGTGAAACTTTCACACGTCACACCACACGCACGTACACAACGCGTATACCATCGGCAGTTTAAACACACGACGCAAACAATATCAAAATGCGAAGCTGCTCAAACTCAACCGCAAATAATACATAAGTCTGCCACGAAGAGAGTACTATTGACAATACGTTAGTTCATAGAGGACGGTAAGGTGAGCAGTACAGAAATATTGATGCCTCGGCTACAAGCTTAAGTTTGTCGGTACGTCCACCGTTCACACATTGTTGTTTCCACAAAGGTGGGGCTTGAAAATCTCAAAGCATCCTATTTTCACCTGTCATCCTTCATAACGAAGACTACAGCCCCTAGTACGCCCTGATGACTAAAAATGCATATTAAAGCCATGCAATCGTTGGGTGACCCTGTACGCAGCGCGGTCGATAATCGGTCGGTAACAATGTGTTAGCTCTATATATATATATATATATATATATATATATATATATATGATGCATATTACCGCTATTTGCATGAGGTGAAACGATGTCATGCTTCTTAGTGTTGGGCGATTTTCCAAAGTATATAACAATTTGAGGATTTCGACTCCAGCGCAAAATGTGTCTTCATGTCATGCCACGTCACTAGAGGTTTACGACGCACTCAGCTGCTGAGGCTATATGGCGTCGCTTGCCTCTCACCCTGGCAGGAAGGGCGGGTACCGCGGGGAATTGAACCCCGTACCTCTGGTTTCCCAGACGCGCAGTGGTTAACGCATACGCGTTAACCGCTGCACTACCGGCACCATGCGAAATGCGTCTTCACTAGATGGTGAAGGCAAGGGAGGTTTGGAAGGTAAAACTAGGGCATACAGTTGTATACGGTCACGAAGGGAAGGGTATCACTGCTTATCTATCTCGCTCATTATGTATCACGACCTGATAAGCTATTAACATATATATATATACATATATATA